GCTGTAGCAGCCACCTTGTGACCATTAGGCAACAAGCATGAGATCAAAAAACTCACTTCTTAGAGATGAACAAGCAAAAGAATGGAGTGATCTTGGATCTTTGACAACTCTTTTAAGCTAAGGGCAGCCACCACTGAGGACACTGAGGCACAGAAGAGTTTACTAACTTGTTTAGGTCCACCTAGCGAGGACTGGGCCACCAGAACTTGGCCTCAAATCTGTGTTCTGATCGATTCCAATTTCCCGTGGACTCTGCACCCACTGGACATAACTGATGACGGCAGTGCCAGCCTAGTGGGTTGGGCGTGCACAGTCTAGAACATATGTGGAGGAGCTTTTTCCCAAGTGAGCTTGCCTCCCCTGGTTCTCTGGGGGGCTCATTCCTGGAACCAGCTGCCATGGGACAAGGAAGCCCAACTAGGCCCTGCTGAGACACAGCACGGAGAGGTCCCAGGTAGGCATCCCAGCCACCAGCCTAGCAGGGGTGCTAGCAGATGGCCAGCACCAGCTGCCAGACACAGGAGTGAAGCTATCTGTGCTGTCCATGTGGTAGCCATCAGCCACACGTGGCCATTTAAACTTAACACCTAAAATTAATAAAGCTTAAAATTCAGCTCCTCAGCTGCACCAGCTCTGTTTCAAAAAATGCTCCAAGGCCACTGAACACCCAGCTTTCACGTTTGCCCAGCTCAGGCCTCAGGCCAGGTGGAGGAGCAGAGACAGGAGACAAGCTGTCCCAGGAGACCTGTGTCTAGATTCCTGACCCACGGAACCTGGGAGCATAATAAAATGGTCGCTTCCTGCCTCTACATTTTGGGGTGGCTTGCTGGAACCCCATGGAAGGGCGTGCTGGGATTAGCACAGCTGGATGTGCATGGGCAGTGCCCCAGGGCGGGCACTCTGTCCCGGCAGCCCAGCACATCTGGACAGGAGCTGGAAGAGACAAGAGTCACTTGGCCAGGGTTACGGATGCTCCTGTGTGAAACGTCCTGTTCTTGGATGCCGGTTTTCGGGAAAGTTTGCATCCCACCTTGTTTTGGCTACAGCCTTGGAGCCTCTCTGCGAATCATCAGCGGCTGGGTCACCGAAGAGGGGTCGTCCTGTGGACAAATTGGTTTGTCTCTGCCCCATTTTATTCCCGTTTGCCACTAAAGAGGTTACCAGTGGTTCTTTTTTGGTGACTTTCGTGCGTGCACGTGCGCGCGCGCACACACACACACACTATATATATATATATACATAAATATATATATATATATATATATAAATTTCACCTTGGGTGTAATAAAAATCACATATATTTTATAAATAGGAAGGCAGTTGCTATGACCAAGGTGTTTTTTGGGGCAGTAAAAGTGAATGTGTTTGAATATTTTTTTTTTTCTCTACGATGCATCCTGGCTATCAGAAAATCTGTTATTTGGAGTAAAAATCAGTAAAGAGAGTACAGAGTGGAGTACACAACGCTGTTGATTTGGAGTAACATTTAAAGTATAGGAGACAAAGTTTAGATCTGTTATTACTACGTCTTTGGTACCTATTTTTCTCTGTGAGTTTCCTCCCACCCGTGAGGTGTCCAGACATGGAAATGGGGGTATCTGAATACAGTGGTGTGTAGCCCTTGGACCACACTCTCTGCCACGTCCAGAGAGATCAGTCACAGGACAACTGAAGCTGGCTGAGCGACCGGCCCAAGGGAGAGTGGCTGTATTTCTACTTCTTTCTTTTATGGTCATCTAGAACACGGGGCGAAGCTCGGGGGTGGGGGTGCGAAGCATAGTGTGTGTGTGAACGGGGGTAACAAAAAGTCTCTGTGTTTCATGCACATTCTGTTTATAGGCTTGGTTAAGAAGATATCAAACAGAGAAGGAGCTTTGAATATTTATATCTGTATCTACCGAAATACCACGGTGGTTAATTTTACGTCAACGTGACTGGCCATGGGGCGCCCAGATTGAAAATTGTTCCTCGGTGTGTCCATGAGGGTGTTTCTGGATGAGATGAGCATTCGAGCCCGTGAACTCGGGAAAGCAGACGGCCCTCCCCAGTGTGGGTGAGTCTCACTCCATCCCTTGAGGTTCCCAAATAGAACAAAAGGTAATTCCTCTCCCCTTCTTCTTCCTCTGCTCCCTCCATCCCCCATTCTAGTTTGGTAAAGGTTTAGTAAAGGACATGGGGGGAATCCCAGTCAATTCCACACACAGAGGCTGGTCCGGGTCCTGGGGAGGCAGAGACCATGCCCTGCCTGCAGGAGCGCTGTCTCTCAGCCACTCTGGAGTCAGCCCCACGCTCTCACGACACAGCACAGCGGGCCCTCACCGGCATGAAAGTCACCATCATGAGTGCTGCGATCTACTTCCATTGCAGAGAAGGCCAGCTAGGAAAACAAACCAGGACCATCGAGATAACGCACTTGTTTATCACTATTTCCTCCTTACTTTCTTGATGAGTCCGTGTTTTTTTTTTTTTTTAAAGATTTTATTTATTTATTTATTAGAAAGCGAGCGAGCAACAGCATGAGAGAGGAGAGGATCAGAGGGAGAAGCAGGCTCCCCGCTGAGCCGGGAGCCCGATGTGGGACTCGATCCCAGGACCCTGGGGTCATGACCTGAGCCGAAGGCAGTCGCTTAACCAACTGAGCCATCCAGGCGCCCGATGAGTCCGTGTTTGTGGCAGAAAAGTCAGACAGTAAATAAACTCAACAGAGAGATAAAGAAGGAAAGTTGCCAGAATTCTGTCCCCACCGCCGGAGCCCACTGTTAGTGTCTGAAGGTTTTCTCTTCTCTGTTTATTTCCATGCAAATGTGTGTGCGGTGTTTACAACAGCAGGATTGCACTACTATGTAATGCTGTGATCTGTTTCTCTCACTTAAAAATATATTCTACTTCCCATGCAATTTTCTTTGCAATCAAACAAACTTTCTAACCTGAGTCTTGGAGAACAGGACGAATAATCAATGCTTTTTATGCTTATTTGCTGGTTGAAATTTTTCAAGATATGGCCTTGTGGGTAAGGGTCACAGGATACAAACATGTTACCTGAAAAGACGTTATTAACTGGAGGATTTAAATAGGTTCAGCAAGAAAAGGAATTGACAGTATGTGTCTCTAAAGGATGCCGTCTGCGTCTGCATGGCTGGGTCAGTTCTAAAACAAGTCTTCCAGATGAGAACCAGGAGTATTGAATTTAGCTGACGGAAGCAAGAGGGCAGTCTGTTTGTAGTAACTGTTCTCTCCAGGATCTCTTTGTTAAAATTGAGGAAATTCTGGCTGGCTCCGTGGGGTTAAGGCCCTAGCATTTCAGGGCGAGGGTGAGAGGACTGGTGATCGCTATGGACTCCTTGTGTCTCCTCCAGATTCCTATGGTGAAATCCTGAATGTGAGGGTTTTAGGAGGGCCCTTTGGGAGGTGACTAGGTCAGGAAGGTGGGCCCTCCTGAGGGGATTAGAGCCCTGAGACGAACAGGAGGTGGCCTGTTTCCTCCATCTCTCTCCGCCGCACAGAGGATACAGCGGGAAGGCACCCATCTGCAAACCAGGAAGAGGACCCTCATCAGGAACCCAACTCCACAGGGATCGCACTCTCAGACTGCTGGCCTCCAGAACAGCGAGAAATAAATGTCTGTGGTTTCCGCGGCCAGCCTGGCAGCCTGGACCGAGTCGGACGCTGGTGCCCAGAGGGCTGGGGCAGAGGTCCCGCGCTCCAGCATTCTAGGTGTGCCCTGTGCAGTGCTGCAGAGCGGGGGCCTCGCGTCCAGCGGCTCACGAGGAGGCTCAGGGGCCAGAGAAGAGCTGCAGTCACGCGCAGGGTTTGCTGCAGGGGAAGGCGCCGGCTGAGATCCGCAAAGGGCCGGGGCGTGCGGCAGAGCTTCCCGTCGTCCCCTGGCAGTGAAACCACGCGGACAGCACCGACGTCTGACAGCACGCCTCCAGAGCTCTCGCTGGCGGGCCCTCACCAAGGCATGGCTGGCCACCCACGTGGCTGAACGTGGTCTGCAGCCTGTCCAGAGACCAAGCTGATACTGTGTGGCCCGCAGATCATGTTGTGAGTGCAGCCTATCTGGAAGGTCCCCCCCTCCCTCCCCGCCCCCCAACCGCCCCGGCCGGGCTGGAAACAAAGACACTCTTATCAGGCAGGACGTTCTAAGAGCTTTAGCAGTGACCTTGCAGGAGCCGGTCAAGGGCAAATCTTCAGTGTGCAGGGTTTGGATGACCCGGATCTGCTGCTTGTCCCTTTCCCGCACCAGCCCCCTTGTACCAGTGGTCCCCAGCCATTTGCACTGTGGTCTAGGCTGCTCCTGAGCCGTCCACGCCCTTGACTTGAAGTCTGTCCCAGGGCTGAGATGACAGATGAAGAGTGACCTGACAGGGATTCCCTCCTGCTCAGCTGCTTCTCTTATCTTGCTCTTGAATCTAATTAAGAAACTAAGAAAGGATTTTTTTGGCAGGTGGTGATGCTCTTCCTGATATGTCGATAGGCACATCCCTAAAAAAGGGAATGCTAGCTAAACAGAACCAGAGAAGCTTGGGTTGTGGTCAGAATATAAGGGAGCTATTCAGAATCTCATGAAACCACGCAGAACTGGTAGGGTTTAGCCTTCCCGGGTACTTGCCTGCTTTAACGAATACAAACACAGGCAGTACTACAAGGGAGAGACCGAAGTGGAGGGACTGTGATGTGGTATTGGGGAACAAGACTCTATTTTTATCAGGATGTTATTGTTTATACCTTTAGTGTTCTAGTGGTTCAAGTCATTATTTCGATCTCTGTCACAAGTATTTTCCCTAGGTGGCTTAAAGAATTTTGCTTGAGGAAGTCCTCAAGGTGAACAAAGAATCCATACACATCCACACACATAACCCCCCCTTCCCATGCCACACACATGGGCTTAAGGAACTAAGCACTCAATACCAGACTTTTTTTTTTTTTTAAAGCATTCAGTAGACAACAAGCATGTCCTCACTAAAGATGACGGAAATGCAAATGAGAGTCTCACTTACCGGCTGGCAACACTTGGAGAGACTGAGTAGGAAACCCCGGTGAGGACGTGAATCAGTAGGAATATTCATGAACTGCCGATGACCTTGCAGGGGATCTGCCGATGATATCCCATGCTGGGGGTCGCCCACACCCCACCGGGGAGCTGGAGAGCCACTCCAGGGCCCGGCACATGTCTGCAGGGACCCGTCTGAGAACACGCACAGTGGCAGTGTCTACAAAGGCAAAATGACGGGGAGAACCTTAGTGCCTGTCACCAGGAGACGGGGGGGCCAATGTGCTGTGCTGGCCACACGATGGATACCACATGTGGCATCTGTGGGTGTGGACCCTGCTTCCAGTGGCAGGCACCTGTGATGGGGCCCCACCCAACCTGCCCTCATACAGCGAGGCTAGAAGTTCGGGGTGTTAGCAGCCCCCGAGAGCCATCCTCCCACAAGGGCTGTGGAAGCTGGCAGCTACTGAACTCGCTGGCCTGTCCTGTCCACCTCTGAGAGCCCCCCGAGGGGTGGAGCCCCCGCGTCTGTGCCAAGCTGTTCCTTTCCCTTGTTTATTTGGAGGTTATCCAAAGAGTTGGGGCGGGGGAGGGGAGAAGATTTATTATTATTTAATAGTTACCATTTATTACTAATATTTTTATTTCCCTCCAGATAAATGACCGAGCCCCTCATCCTTGTCTTGGGGTTGGCCTTTGGGGGAAACACAGGCTAAGACCTGGCTGGCAACAAGCTGTCTCTCGGAACATTCCAGCAATCGTTTGCAGATGTCCCGCAGGCTCCACTGTGAGCAAGAAGCATTAATTATCTCTACCTCACTCGGCTCTCTCGGCTGACCCCCGTCCCCTCTTCTCTGTAGCCCTTGGCCAGGAGAGGAGGGCTCTGACCTCCCAGATGCACCCTGATCTGTCTCCAGACAGGAGCCCCTGTGGCCGTCAGCTCAGCTAACTTGCTAACTACATGCCAAAGAGACGTTTCTCTCCCTAAAATGCCTCTGTGCAATCTCTACAGCTCTTACTGCAAAAATCTCTTTTCCATTCTTGGATGTTCAGATACCTCAGTACAAGCTGGACTTGTATCCAAACTAAAGCACGCGGTTCTACCCAAACATTCTGATAAAGAATCTTGTTCACTTGTGTCCCCTCATCCTCATATTCTAGAGTCCTCTACCCCACAGACTGGGGAGGGGTGTTCCTGCCAGGGGGACTGATTTTCAAATTAAACGTGTATGCAAGTACCTACACAATGGCCCCTGAAGATCGTGTCCTCAACACCTTATCTGTAATTTGCTTCTTGGTAGTAAGGACAAGTCAGATAAATTATTAAGGATGAAATAAAATAAAAACTATTTAGTGATCCTAATTTTATTTACACTAGCAGCTAATGAAGCTGACGTCATTCTAGCTTGAAACTGGTCATTTTATTTATTTTTAAAAAGGTTTTGTTTATTTGAGAGAGAGAGAGAGCGCTCACAAGCAGGGGGAAGGGCAGAGGCAGAGGGAGAAGCAGACTCCCCGCTGAGCAGGGAGCCCGATGTGGGGCTTGATCCCAGGACCCCGAGATCATGACGTGAGCTGAAGGCAGACGCTCAACCAACTGAACCACCCAAGTGCCCGAAAACTGGTCATTTTAATAAACACAGGACAATGCCTGAAAAGGACTGCACATACTCTGAATGATTTCAGTTAACAATTGAGCCCCCAACATATAACTGACTGGGTGAAGCTGAGAGCTGGGATGGTTCATGTCTTTTTATGTTGCATCAGTCTCTTCTGGAAGAGGAAGGATTTTAAGATGGGTGAACCACGCAATTTTTTTTTTTTTGTCTCAACTGGGAAAATTCTGAAATGAAAGAGCGATACTAAAATATAATTTTAACAGTATTTATTTTTTTGGCTGGCCAATTAGTTTCATTATCTTGGTGGGATTATAACATAGTTCTTTTCAAAAACTATTTCCAAAACATAAATATTAAAAAAATAATGAAATCTATGTGTATTAAAGGAAAAACAATGTTAAATCCTTTATATTTAAGGACATATCTACAATATAATATATTTAAGGTCATGTTTATCTGAACACTGGGTAATCACGTGGGAGGAATAATTGTTCCTGGCAGCTATTCACATATTTCTCTGTTTTTAGCCAGATCTTTTCCTAATGTGACATCACCGATATTTTTCTGAAAAACAAAGTTTTTCAATGTCGTTCTATTTTATTTTTCATCAGATTGCCTGCAGACTTCTTCAAAGTGGTTTCTACGGTTCATGAATTTGAAATCCTCGACACCTCCAGTCAGTTCTTCTCCGTTATTTGTAATACTTTCGGTTGCAAGAGCGGACTCTCCTGTGCAGGTGTGGAGGTGTCTGGTGAGTGCAGGACAATGCTGGTGAATGGAGGCCATGGTCAATTCTATGACTTTTGTGTTAAAATGTGTAAACATTTCAGTCCAAATTTTTACTGATCCCATCTTTTTGTTTCCATTCAGAGTATCTTCTGCTGACAAGTATTTTTATGAATCCAAATTCATGAAGTGACTTTACTCTAGGATTCTTTTGAGCCTTTTGCTGATCAAAGATGTGGGGAAATTATACGTACTAAGTATCAATATATCCAATTAAAAATAGGAGCTTCATCAAAAGAGTCTTCCTGCAGGCCTAGGTATTCCCAGACACAATTTTAGAATTTTTTTTTAAACTTTATTTTATATATTTTTAATATATTTTTTGAAGATTTTTATTTATTTATTGAGAGAGATAGTGATAGAGAGAAAGCATGAGAGGGGGAGAGTCAGAGGGAGAAGCAGACTCCCCGCTGAGCAGGGAGCCCGATGCGGAACTCGATCCTGGGACTCCAGGATCGTGACCTGAGCCGAAGGCAGTCGCTTAACCAACTGAGCCACCCAGGCGCCCCAATTTTAGAATTTTAAAATGCAATCTTGTCATGGTTTGAACTCATATGATTTCAGTTGTTTACTTCCATGCTTGCTTTTGTGGGAACACATTCAATACCTTCCTGATTGCTGAGTTTATTTTCAATAATTGCATTTTGCTAAGTTCTTCAAGTGCTTAAGATCTTTTGGAACTCCTTGATAACTTTAATTAAATATTTCCAACTGATTCCTTTTTTATAAATGCACCCAAAACTCAGAGGATTCATATATTTACAACAAGTCACTTACCATTGCAGGATACTGAAATAGTTTTCTCTAGGGGCGCCTGGGTGGTTCAGTCAGTTAAAATGTGTCTTCCTTTGGCTCAGGTCATGATTTCAGACTCCCTGGATCGAATCCCACATCAGTCTCCCTGCTTAGAGGGGAGTCTGCTTCTCCCTCTCCCTATGCTTCTCCCCCCACTTGTCCTCTAAGAAATAAATAAAATCTTTAAAAAAGTTTTCTCTAGAGGTTCTAACAGTTCTTTTTTTTTTTTTTTTAAAGATTTTATTTATTTATTTGACAGAGAGAGAGATAGCTAGAGCAGGAACACAAGCAGAGGGAGTGGGAGAGGGAGAGGCAGGCTTCCTGCCGAGCAGGGAGCCCGATGCGGGACTCGATCCCAGGACCCTAGGATCATGACCTGAGCCGAAGGCAGACGCTTAACGACTGAGCCACCCAGGCATCCAGGTTCTAACAGTTCTAAAAATGCATCTATGAGAAACGAGGAGAGAAAGTGCTGAATTTAAAAAAAAAAGTTTGTCATCAGTTTTACTTCAGTGTTTTTGTAGTTCAGTTACTCTGTGCATAAATAACATATTGTAAATTCTGACAGGCACAGTGTCTGTTTGCATTGGCGAAATACTGCTGTGTATTTGGAAATAATTATGTCTGCAGCACAACCAAGTTCCAGATATGTTTTTGCCCCACAGAATCTTACAATTTAGTACGAATGTTGTTTTTACCTTGCTAGCGTTCTCCATCAAGTGTATCGTGTTATCACAGCCCCCCAGTATTGATCTCCAGTGCTGAACTTTCTGACTTTCCCATGGCATTCATCACAGTTTTAAGTATTTTATCTTCAACGGTATGCATTTTCAAAGGGGATGGAAAAAAAAAAAATGTAACTCCAGCTGGAATGAACTGATGTTCTGTTGGACACATCTCTTGGCCCTGACTGGCGTCACGTGGCTGCTGGTGAAAACGTCTGGCAGAAGAAGCGAGGGCACATTAGCTTTTGCTCCCCTTTCGTGTAAATGTGAGGAAATGAGCAACATGAATTTACAAGAAGGATCATTTGATCTAAGGGGAAGGTCATGCTTCAGAGATCACTATGTAAATGCACCTGCGTATGTTGTTATAATGTATCTCTGAGCAGAGTTCAATGGCAGTGAACTTCTGAAGCAGATGCTGAGCTTCTCCAGCAGTTTGCCCTTTCCTGGTTTGCACGTGTGTGTGTGGGGGGGTGATCCCAGGGCCCCCGTGGTGGATGCTCAGTGTCCACAAGCATGGTGTGTCAATTATGTCTTTGTCATCGCATCCAGAGAAATGGAAACCCAGTCCTTAACTTGTATCAAACATGCGTTTTTTTTTTTCAGTTTATTACTACTTTAAGAGTTTGCCGCTAAATAAAAAAAGCATTACCGAACAAGACGATACATAACTAGTTGTAGATTTACTCCGCGCACCAGATGTCCAGGCTGATAGAGCAGGAGCGTTCAGGTTATTCTAACACCTCCTGAAGGCAGGGCCGCCCACTATTTCCCTCGCAGATTTCTCCTGCATCTCTGCGTTTCTCGCTGGCCTCGCCAAATGGGGGCCTGGCAGTTAATACCTTCTGCAGCCGAAGCACAGACAGCTATGCTGAATTCTTACCCTCACCCCCAAACTGGAAGGAGTTAGTGGTGTTTAGCCTCTCCTGTCCGAGCTCACTCCATTTCATCGGCAGGCCTGCTTCATTTCACCAGTGAGTCCCCCACATGCTGTCCTTGGAAGAGACATACCCGTTTGTGCTGGAAACGCCTGGGAAGCAACGCGCGGATGATCACTCCGGGCGCTGCACGCATGTCTTACACGCGGCGGGACGACAGCTTCGAGGACACATGGTGTGCTTTCAGAGTGGGCGTCTTCGAATGCAGCGGCCATAGCACTGTGTTCGACGTGAGGAGTCCTGGGCGAATGCCCACCTGGGCCGAGGATGTGAGCGGGTGCTGTTTCAGGGCACAGGTAAATACACAGATAGTACCCAGACTGAACGCAGAGGACAGAGGACACAGACAGAAGACAGATGATGGGTAAATAGATGACAGACAGTTTTGTTAACTGTCAATGACTTCTGGAGACAATGGTGCCCCCGCTGACCATGGGTATCTGGCGCATTCGCTCTTCCGTGATACGTGTGGTTGCAGCAGGCACTGAGGCTTCTACGCCAGGAAATTTATCATTAACCCGAGTTTTAGTTCCCTTATTTTAAAAATGAAGATGCACTTCCTCATAATATGAAAGTGTGACATCGAATCAGATGTTTATGAGCGT